TAATAATATCCTGAAAATATATTAATTATTCTATAAATAACTCTAATGTACTCACTCTGACAGGTAGGCATCCGCGTGTAGCTCTCTGAGCCCCAGTCCCACATGCCGTCCTTGTTACAGGTCGCTTGGACTAGGCCTGTTCGGGCGTACTCTTCCTGGACGAAGCTGTAGCCCAGCTCGCACGTGATGTTTACGGAGTAGGATTCTCCAGCTTTGCGGCCGGCTTCGTCATTTCTTTGAATGTTTGGGGACGAAAGGTCTGGGCATTCTGGAAATGAGATGAGATGATGTTTGTTTGTTTTAGTAGAGGTTTTACGGCGCTCTCAACTGCAATAAGGTCATATATATGAGCGTCAAAAGATTAGAGGTGTTACAAGAGAGTAGCAAATATAAAAAAGAAGGAGTGGAGATAAGGATGATAGATGTTTGATAGGAAAGAAGGACCTAACCACACCAGAGCACAGAGGTGAGGAGAGGTGAGGTAAGGTGAGGTGAGATTAGATGAGGAGATGAGGTGAGGTGAGATGAGGTGAGGTTACATGAGGGGAGGTGAGATGAGGTGAGGTGAGGTGAGGTGAGGTGAGGTTAGATGAGGGGAGGTGAGATGAGGTGAGGTGAGGTGAGGTGAGGTGAGATGAGGTGGGGTAAGGTGATGTGAGATGAGGTGAGGTGAGGTTAGATGAGGGGAGGTGAGATGAGGTTAGATGAGGTGAGATGAGATGGGGTAAAGTGAGATGAGATGAGGTGAGGAAAGGTGAGATGAGGTGAGGTGAGGTGAGTTGAGCTGAGATGAGATGGGATGAGGCCAGATTCGATAAACTTTTATGGTCTACGAGGGAAGTTTTAGTTGGATTTGCCATAGCATCAAAAACAATAATCATCATAATATTTATAAGGTTCAGCTTCGATACAGAAATGCGCTCACTATAATGTTGTTGTTGTGTAATCGAGCTGGAGTCCATTTTATTTATTTATTTATTTATGTATTTATGTATTTATTTATTTATTTATTTATTTATTTATTTATTTATTTATCATTTATTTATTTATTTATTTATTTATAT